GATCTGAATCTCTGTGGTCTTGGTTGAGTGTCATGGGCTTCATTGCCTTGCTGTGTCTGAGAATATTCTCTGCCTTTTTTAAGAGTCCTGATCTTGAATCTTTCGTGATGCTCCATCATCTTTTGTGCCCCAAGGCATGAGCATCAACTCAAAAGTCCAAAGCTTAGAGGGAAGAATCATCCTGTGTCTACCTCTGCTGCAATAAACTCTGAAGGAAGGTGGGGGCCAGATGGCGGATGTGGTACAAACATGGCTGGAAGACCAACAGTTCCCAGAGAAGCAGAGACAATGTGAGCTGGGCAGAAACTCCCAAAAGGTGTTAATTATAAGGATCTGTAAGTCCAGCAGAGAAAACAAGCTTGTAAAGAACTAACTTAAATGCAGGCTCATACATGCCTAATAGAGGGAAGCCTAGAGGTAGTGGGTGTCATTCTACTGGGTATTTTAAAAACCAGTTTTGTTACATTCAATATATACAGTAAAATGAACCCATTTAAAATGTAGAGATCAATGAGTTTTGACATATGTTTACACCCATGTCATCTCCATCTCAATCAAGATATAGAACATTTCCATCAACCCAGAAAGTTCCTCATGCCCCCTCTATGTCCCAGGCAACCATTGATCTAACTTCTAATCACTACAGATTAGTTTTGCTGATTCTAGAACTTTGCATAAATGTAATTACATTAAATATATATATAATATAATATATATATATTCTTTTTTTCATTTTTGTCTAAGATTTATCCACATTTCAGTGGGTTTATCATCATCATCATCATTATTATGATTGAAGTATAGTTGACATGCTTTCGGGTGTACCATATATTGATTTGACAGTTCTATGCATTATTCAATGTTCACCACAGTACGTCACCATACAACATGATTATATTATTGACTATATTCCTTGTGCTGTACTTTTCATCTCCAAGACTTATTTTACAACTGGAATTTTGTACCTCTTAGTCCCTTTCACCCTGCCACCCCCTACCTTCTGGCAACCACCAGTTTGTCTCTGTATTTATGAATCTGTTTCTGTTTTGTTTGTTGACTTGATTAGTTTTTTTAGAATCCATATAGAAGTGAAATGATATAGTATTTGTCATTCTCTGTCTGACTTATTTTACTTAGCATAATAGGTCTTTCCTAGGTCTTTCCATGTTGTTGCAAATAGCAAGATTTCATTCATTTTTTACAGCTTAGAAATAATCCACTGTATCTTCTTTATCCTTTCATCTATCAGTGGGTACTTGGGCTGCTTTCATATGTTGGCTGTTGTAAATAATGATGTAATAAATATAGGGGTACATGTATCTTTTCAGATTAGTGTTTTTGTTTTCTTTGGATAAATACCCAATAGTTAAATTACTGGATCACATGGTATTTCTATTTTTAATTTTTTAAGGAACTGCCCTACTGTTTTCCACAGTAGTTGCACCAATTTATATTCCCACCAACAGTGCACAAGTGTTCCCTTTTTTCCACATCTTCACCAACCCTTGCTATTTCTTGTTTTTTTTTTTTTGATACTAGGTGTTTTGATTAATATGAGAGGAAATCTCACTATGGTTTTGATTTGCATTTCCCTCATGATTAGTTGATGTTGAACATCTTTTCATGCATCTGTTGGCCTTCTACATGTCTTTGGAGAAAGGTCTATTCAGGTACTCGCCCATTTTTTTTTTAAGATTTTATTTATTTATTTGACAGACAGAGATCACAAGTAGGCAGAGAAGCAGTCAGAGAGAGAGGAGGAAGCAGGCTCCCCGCAGAGCAGAGAGCCCGATGCGGGGCTCGATCCCAGGACCCTGGGATCATGACCTGAGCCGAAGGCAGAGGCTTTAACCCACTGAGCCACCCAGGCACCCCGGTCCTCGCCCATTTTTAATTGGATTGTGTGTGTGTATGTGTGTGTGTGCGTTGAGTTGTGTAAGTTCTTTTTATGTTTTGGATATTAACCCTGTCTCAGATACATGATTTGCAAATATCTTCTCCCATTCACTATATTGCCTTTTTGTTTTGCTTATGGTTTATTTTGCTGGGAAAAAGGTTTTTATTTTGGTGTAGCCCTAATAGTTTATTTTTGCCTTTTCCCCCCTTGCCTGAGGAGACATTTCCATATTTTGCTAAGGCCAATATCCAAGAGATTACTGCTTATGTTTTCTTTTAGGAGTTTTATGGTTTCAGGTCTCACATTTAGGTTTTTAATCCATTTTGTATTTGGTGTAAGAAAGCGCTCCAATTTCATTCTTTTGCATGTGGCTATCCAGTTTTCCCAGCAGCATTTATTGAAGAGACTGTATTATTCCCATTGTATATTCTTGCCTCCTTTGTCATAGATTAATTGACCACATAAGAATGAGTTTATTTTTGGGCTTCCTATCCTGTTCCATTGATCTATGTATTTTTTGTGTCTGTGCCAGTCCCATACTATTTTTATTACTACAGCATTGGAGTATATCTTGAAGTCCGAGATTATGATACCTCCAGCTTTGCTCTTCTTTCCCAAGATCACTGTGGATATTTGGGGTTTTTCATAATTCCATACAAATTTTGGGAGTATTAATTCTCATTCTATGAAAAATGCTGTTGGTGTTTTGACTAAAATTGCATTGAATCTGTAGATTGCTCTGGGAAGTATGGACATTTTAACGGTATTAATTCTTCCAACCCATGGCCATGAAATATCTTTCCATTTGTGTCATCTTCAATTTCTTTCATCATTGTCTTATATTTTTCAAAATATAGGTCTTTCACCTCCTTGGTTATATTTATTCCTAGGTACTATTTTTGGTGCATCAACTTGGTTTTGAAGATGGGATTACACAAGCAGAGGAAGTGTGAGGGTATTGCAGGGATGGAGATTTGTATAAAAGAACAGAGTGTGCTTAAAACATCAGAATTAGTTTGATGTGACCCAAGCATGCAGTCTGAGGGGGCATTGGCAGAAGAGAAACCTGCTATAAAGAAAGAGTTTACAATATGGAACTTTACCTGATCTCTGAGCTCTTGAAAAAAGTATTGGTTTTTCAACACCCTTCCTCCACTTTTCTGTCCTCCGGAAAGGGTTTACTGCAAAGAAATATCCAATCCTCTATGACTTAGGTTAAGACTCATGGATATCGTCCTTGTTTACCTGTGACAAGGCAAGACAGTCCTTCTGAACTGCTCTTCTTTGCCTTCTAAATGTTTAGCTGAACTATTTGTATCCACTGATGAATCAAAACAAAATGCTTTGTTAACCAACTTTAGTTAAGCTTCTCCCATACCCTCCAAGCCCCTTATTTTTTTTAAAGATTTTATTTATGTATTTACAGACAGAGATCACAAGTAGGCAGATAGGCAGGCAGAGAGGAGAAAGAAGGCTCCCCGCCGAGCAGAGAGCCCGATATGGGGCTCGATGCCAGGACCCTAAGATCATGACCTGAGCTGAAGGTAGAGGCTTTAACCCACTGAGCCACCCCAGTGCCCTCAGCCTGAGCCACCATACAACCCCTGCAGAGAATAGACTGACCTCACGGTAAAACAGTCTCTGACCTACTACTATCTGATCAAGCCACCTTTTCCTCCCATTTTCCCACACTCAGTTCTTTCTAGCCTTCTTCACTCTTCCCTATTAAAGAAAAATTATCTCTTTTTCTAAAAAAGAGTTTATTTATTTGACAGAGCAAGAGAGCACAAGCAGGCAGAGCAGCAGAAGGAGAGGGAGAAGGAGAAGCAGGGCTCCCCATTGAGCAGAGAGCCCAATGCAGGGCTTGATCCTAGGACTCTGGGATCATGACCTGAGCTGAAGGCAGTCGCTTAACCAACTGAGCCACCCAGGAGCCCAAGAAAAAACCTTTTTTGCCTAACCCTTAGCCACTTAAAGATCTTTTAGTCAGAGTGGTCTCCCTATTACAATAGTTCCTTCTCTTCCCTTTTCCTCCCCCCTTGCAATATTCCTTTCAAATAAAGTATCTCCTCACTAAGTCTGGATTTGTTTTCTTATTTGGCAAGGTCAAACATGCTTCCATTAGAATGCTGTCCCAGGGGTGCTTGGGTGGCTCAGTGGGTTAAGTTTCTGCCTTTGGCTCAGGTCATGATCTCAGGATCCCGGGATCAAGTCCCGCATCAGGCTCTCTACTCGGCAGGGAGCCTGCTTCCTCCTCTCTCTCGGCCTGCCTCTCTGCCTACTTGTGATCTCTGTGAAATAAATAAATAAAATCTTAAAAAAAAAAAAAAGAATGCTATCTCTAAACCTCTGAAACCTTCAGCAAATCAATTAACTTTTCCTGGTCTCTCTTCCTTATGTGTAAAATGGGGATAATATGACATCTATGTTTCGGGGTTTTGTGGTGATTAGAAAATATGAAACCCTGAAAACAGAGTAGATAATAGTAATTACTCTAATCATTATGAAGCTATTGATCTACATCTGAGTCACTTTCATTCCTTATGAACTGAATGGCCTTATACGTCACCTATAATTTTATACTTACTATTGTGTCTTCAATATCTGACAAATGCTTGGCACATAGGAAATGCGCGATAAATAATTTGGAAGGAGTAACTTCATCCCATTGACAGCAGGGAGCTATGAGAATAATGTTTGGTTTAGAAAGAACAGGTTAATCACTGACGACCTTCATGAGATTTTACCTGTTAAAATTCTCATCTGTCTCCACACCTGTCTCCTTAATGGCACCTAGGATACGTTTAAAGCTGCCTCTCCTGGAAAATGGAAATGATCATAATTCCTGTCATGCTCTGAAATCGAAAGAGAGAACGTGGAGCAGTTTTTTTCAAAGCATGACTGGCATATACACATTCCCACAGCTAATAAACTAGCTCAGCTCTCATCAGGGAGCCTCGCCCACCTCCTGACGCTCCGCCTTCGCTGCAACTCAAGTTCCTCCCACTCAGCCCGGTGCTAGGGGCTCTTTTACCAGGTTGGCCCGCGCCTCCGTGTGCGCAGGCGCACCACTAACCCAGGAGGGCGGGCGGGCGGGGCCATATTGCGTCATCGGGGCGCGCGCTGCGGACGACGCTGTGGTTGCCGGAAGTTGAGCGGCGGTAAGTGAGCCGCGCAGGTGAGGGAATATGGGGGTCCTGTGGGTTGGGTTTTGGAGTCCTGGTGGGAAGGGGCGAGCTCGGCAGGGAGGGCGAAAGTCTTGGTGGATTTCAGGATTCTCCTTCCGCCGGGGAGTCACTGACTCTGGCTCTCACCCTCCTTCTCCAGCCCCATCCCCGGGAATTGAGTCCGGGGTCTTCTGACTAGAAAGCTCCTAGTGTCCTATGTCAGCCCCTCCTGTCGTCTGGCAAGGAATCCTCTGAATTTTCGGTGTTGGAATACCGGAGATAGGACGGCAGGGTGCTTATCCTGGCTTTGCCTGCATTTGCTCTGTGACTCTGGCATGTCACCTCTCTCAGCCTCTCTTCCTTCATCTGTAAAATGGGAGTGATGATGTCGTTTGTGAAGCGAGGGCGTTAAATGAAGTCAGTTTTTTGTAAGGGCTTTCTGAGCTAAGATTCTCTACTCTTCAGTTTGATCCAGGGTTACAAAGTTTAATGCTTATTCAGTCAGGTAAAGTAAATGTAGGTGTAAGAAATGTATTTCCATATCAGAAAGAGTCAAACGTGTTTTTACTGAATTGAGCTTATGAGCACAGTACTAACATGTATGAAGGAGAAATGAAAAAACTCGTGTGTTGCACTCGTGTAATCTCTTGATTTTTAAACACTGACGACTACAGTTTTTTCAAAACCAATTTTAAAAAGATGTTTTTTAACTACAGCTGGAACCAGGCATATCTGTGACTGCCAGTTTCAGGCCTCTGCGTCCCAGGTTCCCTTTCCCATTGAATACTTGGATTTCTTTTGTGACACCCCTGCCCACGGGTTAAGTTTCTTAAGTGGCAGAAAACTCACTATTTCTGGTTATTGTTGTTTGGTCTTTCCCTAGCTTTGACTTAGGCCATATGTTGAGCTGAAAGCAGCTACCCCATAATCTCAGTCATTTTCCCTCTTTCAGGCCCTTGGGCTCTCCCTTCCACTTTATTGCCCACACACCTTTGAAAGCTGCTAGTTTGTCTTCTGCTTCACACCATTTCTTCTCCAGGCTGAGCACATTTAATTTATTTACCCATAGTATATGCCACAACAACTGAGAATTTTGTTATGTTCAAGGCATCACTGTAAGCACCGCTGATGTAGAGGTGCTATTCATGGAGCATACCTTTTGATTGTGGTGGTGGCAGTTGTGGCAATTGTCAATAATATAGTGCTTTTAGTGGGTGGTAGGTGTTTCAGATCCTGTTGGACACTAGAAAAAAGAAACAGTAATGTGATGGAGAGTAACTGGGGGTAAGCGGAGGGAGCTATTGTAAAATTTAGCTGGTCAGAGATGCACTCTCTGAGGAGGTGACTTTGGAGCTAACATGCGAATGAAGAAAAAGCCAGTCTTGTGAAAGTTCATATTGCCTAATTGTTTCTCCATCCCTCAATTCTGTGCTGTGGTCTTGTTAAACTGTTTACAGGTTGTGTCTCACTTGTAACCCTTTGCTCCTGCTGCTTCTGCTGCATAAAACATCTCTGCTTCCCCTTCCATTTTTCTTGGCCAGCTCCTCCCTAACCCTCATGTGACATGATTTTGAAATTCGTTAAGGAGTTACGTACAGGGCTCTCAGTCAAGATGCACATCTCTGGCCTCAGGGAGTTATTTTTTAAGTCAAAGAGATAGACCACAGCACTATGGTATGAAGCTATTGAGATTTGCCAGAGGAGGACTTAGGGCGATCGTTAAGTCTGACGGCTGAGGCATCAGAGAAGGCTTCTGTGAGGACATACTGCCCATAGGCCTGAAGGATGAGCAAGAATAGTCAGGAGAAGAGGAGTGGAGGTGGGATGAATTGCAGACATTGGAAATGGTGTGAGCAGACGTACTTGCAGGTAGTTCACCCAGGCTGAGATATGAATGTGGAAAGGTAAGCAGGAGGCAGATCACAAAGGGCTTTGTGGGCAACATGAGATTGTGTAATACATAATTAAGAACACAGATTTGGGAATATAAGTTACTTGTGTACCTATGCTGGCTTTGCCATTGAACTACTTTTGAGACCTTAGGCGATCACTCTAAACTTCAATTTCCTCACATAAGCCAACCTTCCAGGGTTGCTGTGAGAATTGAATGCTTTATGTTATCTGCTTGATGATGGTAGATGGTAAATGATAAACTGTAGCTGTTAATATTGCCATGCTAAGATGTCTGGACTTTCTTGAGGGTATGGTGTTGGAGAGTTGAGGCAGTGAAGGTTTAAAAAAGGGTGTGACATGCTCTCATCTATTTTAAATTACCCAGATGGTTCCATGGTGATTACACTGGACAGGGTAGGGCCAGCAGGGAAACCAGTGAGGCCACTGTTGCTTTGGTCCAGGTGGCAGAGGAGGGAGGCCTGAACCAAGGCAGTGGCTGTGTGGAGGGAGAAAGATGGGTGGGTTTAAGAGACAAAGGAAGGGATTTGCTGGACTGGTAGTTACCACCATGGATAATACCACATGGGAGAGGAGGAAGATGAATTGGAATATGGGGGATGGAGGGGATGGATCCTGTGTGTGGACGTAAGTAATAACAAAGTTCTTTGATTAGTGGTCCTTGATTGGTTATCCCTGATCTCCTCTGAGATTTTATTTGAAAGTCCAAATGGCCTCTTTTCTCCACTTTGACCCATGGGAAGTGAAGTTCTGAAATGCCTTCCTCCTCCTTTTTTCTATTTCCTGATCCTTCTACCTATCTCTAGTGTAAGGCCTGGTTGTGTATTTGAGGGAGAATAATGAGATGCTGCTTTGTTACCCAGTAGACATTATACACCCCATGGTCCTGGCAGACTGAGTACCAACAACTCGCTGTCAGTCCAACCCCAGATGATCACCTCTGGGGTTTTCTCACACCTTCTTTGTTGTGATTACCCTCCCTTGAACTTTTCCTGTTTGACAGTCTGTCTTTGAGAGTGTGGTGTGTAAAAGAAGATCTTTTTCCTCCGGGAGTCTGACCATACAGACCAGGGATGTACTTCTTTTGTGGTGACCTGAGCACCACCCCACCCCACCCCAAGTCTTTGTTGTAGACACATCCTGTCCACTATCATGCTGTGGGCTCCTGGTGCTACTTGGCACTCCCCATTTGCATTTGGACAGCTCTCTTGCCCATCTCCTCCTTGTCTTTCAGATTTTCATTCCTCTCCCGGCTTCCTAACCTTGCCTTTGACTTCACTAAGTTGCAACCATCAGTTAAGGCTCCTCAACTGCTATCATTTACAAACTTACCTCCAGCTGACCGTATCACTTTGCCTAATTTTGTGAAAGAAATATGTTTAAGGCTAATTCTTCCACTTGTGCTGAGATTCCGTTCCTCCTTTTCCTTAGGACTTGGTTCCATCATTTATTCTGTTTCTTTCCTGCTTAACCATCTCTTCTCATTTAAATCTCTGGGAAACACAAAACACCTTCCTGTTAACTTCTGTCATTACACCACCTCTTCCCAACCACATTTCTTGACTTCCTGAAGTCGTCATTCACTAAAATCCTGCTTCCACCCCCAGCTCCTCCAAAATTGCTCTCCCTAGTCTTCACACCTCCGTGTTACCAAAACTCCTGAACATTTTTTCCTTCCTTGTCTTGAATTCTGAGCACATCTGATATTGCTGATATATTGCTTCATTTATGAAAACCACTCCTGCTTTGTGCTGTCTCTCTGGCTGTTTCCCCCTGTATCCATTGTATCCTTTTTTCCTCCTTTTGTCCCTTACATGCTAGTTTTCTCCAAGGCTCTGCCTTATACTCTGTGCTCTTCTCACCCCCAACTTCAGTTCCTACTTAGTGTGCCAAAGACCCCTGTTCTGTGCCCTGAGCTGGGATCTCTCCTGAGAACCAGTCCTCAAACTCAGTGAGTCCAAAGTGAAACTCATCAGCTTCCCTCCAAAGCTATAGTTCTTTCTACATCCATTCTGACGCATTCTCTTCCTTCCATTTAGTCATTCAAACCAAAGCCTTGGAGTCATCTTGGACTTTTCCCTCTCATCCCGTCCCAGGTAGTCATCAAAGTTCTACAGATTCTCCTTCCTTGATATCTCTTAACACATTTTCTCCTCCATTTTCTCTCCCACTGCCTTAGTCTGGGCTCTTCTCACTTCTTTCTGTATTCCTGCATGACCTCTGAGCTGCTTGCCCTGTCTGGCCCTCAGTGGTGCTGCACTGCCCTTTCTAAAATACCGATCTTTGCTAAAATATAAATCCCTGCTTTTTCAGTCTAATTTAGATACCTCTCCTTCCTCCTCCCATAACAGTCTGTACAAACACTTATACCATACTCTGCGGCACTGGTTTTATCCACAGATTGCTATACTATCATTCCTGGTCATCTAACCCTCAAAACTTAGATCCTAAAATGCAAAGACCTTAGCTTTTTGCCATTAAATGCTGAAATATAGCGCAAGAACTTGTATATAATATATTGAAGTTTATTGAGGGAATAACTAAGTAGAAATCCCTCTGTCTCTGACACGTTTTATTGGAAACATTATGTTTTTGAGTACCTCCTGTGTCAGATACATGCATTTTATAGTTGAATCCACACAGTGATACAACTATACACAGTTGATGTCCCATCTTATAGGTGGGGAAACAGACTCAGAGAAATTAAATGACTTGCCCAAGATTGTGTGGCTAGATATAGCAGAGGTGGGATTTTAACTCAGATGTCTCTGGCTTATGAAGCTAGGCCCTTCCGTTACCATACTGCCTCCAGTGTATCAGCATGCATTGTCCAATTTTTTTTTTTGATTGAGATTTAAGACCCTATATTTACCTCTATGAAGTTTTTAGTCCTACTAAAATAGGCCTGTTATATCAGCTGGTCAGAACCTTTTTTATTCTGAACTTTTTTTTTTTTTAAAGATTTTATTTATTTATTTGACAGACAGAAATCACAAGTAGGCAGAGAGGCAGGCAGAGAGAGAGAAGGGGAAGCAGGCTCCCTGCCGAGCAGAGAGCCCGACGCGGGACTCGATCCCAGGACC